CAATGGAGGAAGAGATCGCCGCCCTCGTCATCGACAATGGCTCCGGTATGTGCAAAGCTGGCTTTGCTGGCGACGACGCCCCCCGGGCTGTGTTCCCCTCCATCGTCGGCCGCCCCCGACACCAGGTAAATCGCGCCCCCCAGGCTCCCGTTTCCGCCCGACCTCCAGGCGCGTCGGGCGGGAGTCTGATAATTGCCTCTGCAGGGCGTGATGGTCGGCATGGGCCAGAAGGACTCCTACGTGGGCGACGAGGCCCAGAGTAAGCGAGGTATCCTGACCCTGAAGTACCCCATCGAGCACGGCATCGTCACCAACTGGGATGACATGGAGAAGATCTGGCACCACACCTTCTACAACGAGCTGCGTGTGGCCCCCGAGGAGCACCCAGTGCTGCTGACGGAGGCCCCCCTGAACCCCAAGGCCAACAGAGAGAAGATGACTCAGGTAGTAGGGTGTGCCTGGCTGCTTTCCTGTTTCTCAAGTCATTTTCTGCTCTGCTCCATTTTCTGACATTCAAGTGTTTCTTTGATATTTCCAGGGTTCTGTTCCTCTACTGGCATTTCCTCCCTGAAGCCTCCAGGTTTCTAGTTTGCGTTTCTGCCTGTGTTCTGTTCTTTTCTCCACACATCACATTTGTGGCATGCAGCATGTAGCGTGTTGGGCACGGGTGGCTCAGAGTTCCTTCCACTGACTTTGAGACCTCATTGTTCTCCAGATTATGTTCGAGACCTTCAACACCCCGGCTATGTATGTGGCCATCCAGGCCGTGCTGTCCCTGTACGCCTCTGGCCGCACCACCGGCATCGTCATGGACTCTGGCGATGGGGTCACCCACACAGTGCCCATCTATGAGGGCTACGCCCTCCCCCACGCCATCCTTCGTCTGGACCTGGCTGGCCGGGACCTGACGGACTACCTCATGAAGATCCTGACGGAGCGTGGCTACAGTTTCACCACCACGGCTGAGCGCGAGATTGTGCGGGACATCAAGGAGAAGCTGTGCTACGTCGCCCTGGACTTTGAGCAGGAGATGGCCACGGCTGCGTCTTCCTCCTCTCTGGAGAAGAGCTATGAGCTGCCCGATGGCCAGGTGATCACCATCGGCAATGAGCGCTTCCGGTGTCCAGAGGCTCTCTTCCAGCCCTCTTTCCTCGGTAGGTGTCTAGAAGGGCCTCCCTTTGGAAGGGGTGCCCCTTGGGACCCGTCTGCTGAGAGCGCTTTGTCCCCTAGGTATGGAATCCTCTGGCATCCACGAGACCACCTTCAACTCCATCATGAAGTGTGACGTGGACATCCGCAAGGACCTGTATGCCAACACAGTGCTGTCTGGAGGCACCACCATGTACCCGGGCATCGCCGACAGGATGCAGAAGGAGATCACAGCCCTGGCACCCAGCACCATGAAGATCAAGGTGAGTGGCTGCCATCATGAGCAGGGCCCACCTGCAGGGGGTGCACTGCCACACCTGGGGTTCTTACGATGGTGCCCTTTTCCTCTGCAGATCATCGCGCCCCCTGAGCGCAAGTATTCTGTGTGGATTGGCGGCTCGATCCTGGCCTCACTGTCCACCTTCCAGCAGATGTGGATCAGCAAGCAGGAGTACGACGAGTCAGGCCCCTCCATTGTGCACCGCAAATGCTTCTAGATGGACTGAGCAGGTGCCAGGCACTTGCTGCATGAGCCGATTCCGAAGTATAATTTGCCCTGGCAAATGTACACACCTCATGCTAGCCTCACGAAACTGGAATAAGCCTTTGAAAGAAATTTGTCCTTGAAGCTTGTATCTGATGTCAGCACTGGATTGTAGAACTTGTTGCTGATTTTGACCTTGTATTCAAATTAACTGTTCTTTGGTCTATGTTTAATTAATACCCTGTGCATATCTTTGATTCATTCCTTTAGTCCAGGTGGCTCGGTCACTTGTGGCTGAGTTGGGCACAGCTGTGGAGGAAAAACCCTCGGCTCGGTGACCCAGGAGGCCGCGCACAGAGATCTGTGCAGGGTATTGAGTCAGAGCTGCCTGTTCCAGGATCTTGGGCTGGCAGGAGTTGGTGTACCAGTTGTCGCTTCTGTCCTCTTGCTGGTCTAACAGGGTGGGAAAGTCCGAGCCTTAGGACCCTGTTTCCATCATCATTTTCCCGCCTGAACGCAGTGGGTGGTTTACTTGCCTTGAGTTGGAAACAGTTTGCATTTACATCTGTAAATTTATTCATTGTTTTAATTTATGTAAGGTTTTTTGTACTCACCTCTTTAAGATGAAAAATTTTGGTTTTCTACTGTGAGAACATTAGGCCCCCAGCAACACGTCATTGTGTAAGGAAAAATAAAAGTGCTGCAGTACACTGAGGGTTGCTTTTGATTTGGGGGAGACCTACCTTGGCCTGGTGGCACTTGGGATATTGGGGTTTATCCTGGGCCCGGTGTGCCCATTTGGGTGTAGGTCACCTGCACTGAGGTAGGTGGGAGGTCCCCAGAGCTGGTCTATGGAGCCTGGGTGATTCTGGCTCCTATATGCCACGCTGCCCTAGAGCCCCAGGGTGTAGGGTGGTGGCAGGTAAAGGTGCTGCTGCTTCAGGTTTTCAGTCTGCTCCCAGTGTGGGGGCTCAGTTCTGGTTGGAGCAGTTGGATTTGGAAAGGGGAAAAGTTAAAAGAGACACTCCTTTGGAAGCAGATTTCCCCTGAGGTTGATTATGGGAGGAAGTAGGGAGATGGCTCTTCCCGTTGGGGCAGGAGTTGGGGCAGTGGGTTCCTAGGACGAGAGAGAGCCCCCCCAGCTCTGCTCCTGTGGCCTGTGCAGCTGCAGCCATCACCTGCTGATGTCCTGTGAGGGAAGGTGTTTCCACCCTGTGCAGTTCCACTTTGAGGGCAGCTAGAAAGTCCCGACTGGTGCCAGCCAAGCAGATGGGGGGCCAGCATCAGCTGCTGGGGGGTGACACAAGGAGAAGAGGTAGCTCTGGGCTTCCCAGCCCCTCTTGCCGGCACTGGGGCCAGTGGGCAAAGCCCCTCCACTCCACTGCTGCCCCCTGCAAACCCATCTCTCTGGGAGTATAGAGGGAGTAGAGACAATAGTAGCCTTTTTTCTGTGTAGCATGCTGGGGCCAGTAATCAGATGTTAAACCCAATCACTGTGATTGGTGGTAATGGTGCAGAATGGAGATTTTGTGGGATTGGTGCAGTTTCACTGTTACCCAGGTTGGACTCGGGATCACAGGCATGCACCACCACTGCCGACGTAAACCAAGCGTGTGGGACCTGGCCCAAGGCCCTGGTCTGCTACATCGCATTTATTCACTTCAACCAGAGGACTGCACTGGTCAAAGGAGGCTAAATGGGAGGTCTGGTGGTGACCCTGCCCGTGGGACTCCTTGAGATCTAGGGAGTGCCCCCAGCTGTGACGGAGAAACTCACCCATGTGGCTGTGCAGTAAAAGCTCAGAGAACTCAGGTGAGGAAGGGGAAGGGCTCCTGCACCAAAGCTGCGCAAGCCAGCTCCAGCGAGAGGGACGGTTTCCACCTACCACAGGGCTAACAGCCCGCTGTGGACCGCAGTATCTTCAAACCCTAAACAAGGGAGTGATTTCTATGCTCACAAGGACTCAGGCCACAGGAAGTCAGGAAATTCTATAGAAAAAAATGAGAAAACCACTTTCACTGGCCACTTGGAGAAGGCTGGAAAGTTTGAGGGCTAATGGTGTAAGACAGTCCCAGTACCAGGGATCAGAATGCAAGAGAGACCTGCGTGTTCCTGTCCAAAGTGGCAGAACACAAGAGACATAGTGCTAAGTGTTGGCAGAGGTGTGGGGACAGGGAACACCACAAGCATTACAGGTTGCAGTAATCTTGGAGCCCTGTGTGCCAGTTCCTAGGGAAACATGAGACCATCCTGCAGCTGCTGAGCCCTCACCTGGTGTATATGCCAGTCTTTGAGTGACACTTGGGCAGGAACCGTGAGCAAGGGCTGACCGAGCACAGCAGACCTTGGCGTCACTGTGGAGTCAATCAAGGTGGGGAATGGTGAGCTCAGTGAATAGAGTAAGTGCAAACCTGGGAACCTCTGCATCTGCGCACAGTGGTGCACACCTGTACCCACTCAGGAGATTGAGGCAGGAGATTACATGAGCCCAGGAGTTTGAATCAAGACCCTCATCTAAAAAAATAACCCCTAGGCCAGGGATGTAGCTCAGTGGCACCACGCCTGCCTTGCAAGTGCAAGGTCCTGAGTTCGATCCCAGTACTGGAAAAAAATAAAACACTAAATGGGGCTGGAGATGTAGTTCAGTGGCACTGTAATTGCTCTGGCAAGTGCAAGATCCTAAGTTTGATCCCTGGTTCCAAAAACAAAAGGAAAACAACCCTAAATGCCAGGCATTTATAGTGCATCTATAATCCAAGCATTCAGGAGGCTGAGGCAGGAGGACTGCTATGAGTTCAAGGCCAGTCTGGGCTACATAGGGAGAGACCCTGTCTCAAAACAACAAAAACCATAGTAAATAAATTTTTAAAACCCTAAATATCTGTGTCTAGTATCCAAAATATATGAAGATCTCCTACAATTCACCACCACTACCACCAACAAAAAACACCCGAACTGGGCATAGTGGTGGCACACACCTGTGATCCCAGTACTCAGGAGACTGAGGCAAGAGCATTGCACGAGTTCAAGGCCAGCCTGTACTACCAACTGAAATCCTGACCCCCACCCCCAAAAAAGAAAAAACAGGGCTGGGGATTTAGCTCAGTGGTACCACCTGCCTGGCAAGCGCAAGGTCCCGAGTTTGATCCCCGGTACCAACAAAGCAAAAAGACACCAAGTGAAAATGGGCAAAGGACTTGGATTGGACTTGAATTGCCGTTTCTTCCCAGCGGATTTATAGAAAGCCAAGGAGGAAAAGGAAAGAGGCTGGGCTACGTTAGGGAAGTGCGAGGGTGCTCTGGCGGCCCCGTCCCAGCCCAGCAAGGAGCGCTGCTAGGCTGCTGTGGAAAACGACGCCGGGATTGCTAAGGTAAACGTGGAATTACCCTAGGACCTGGGGAGTCCACGCCCACGGAACACCACACACCCTGGGAGAGCACTGCTCGTCCTGTGCCCCGCTCCTGTCCTCCTCGGATGGCCCCAGCTGGCTGTCTCGGAGCGGGCAGGCCGCCGGTCAGCGCCCCGGCACCTGGCACAGCCTCTCGGACGTGTGTTTGTAGGACAAGGGAAGCAACCCCATAAAGGTATCCGCTCGGTGCAGCTGAGGATGGACACGTGACGCGAGAGGCACAGAGACTCCGGATCTGCTGCCAGCCACTGGGCAGCAGCCCGCGGCTGGAGAGTGGCGCATCACAGCCACCCTGCGCGCCGGACCGAGGGCGGGGATGGAAGGTGAGGGCCGCCCTGCCAGCTGCGTTCATAAAGCTTCCCCTCCGCCACCCCCGGTAACCTCCTCTACCTGCTCTCTCCTTAGGCTGCAGATGGCAAGCTTTGATTTCTCGTCTTCCTTATGCACTTGTTAGTTGGAATACTTCCCGTAAAGAGTTGTTCTTCTACCAGTCGGGTGACAGACAGGACTATTACTTCAATCTTCTCCATTATTTGCCTTTTCCCCCCGCTAGTACTGGAGATTGAACCCAGGGCTTTCACACTGAGTTACATCCCCAGCCCCTTTTGATTTGATTTCATTTATTATTTATTTACTTGTACAGGGGATAGAACTCCGGTCCTTGCGCTTGCAAGGCGGGCGGTGGAACCACTGAGCTAAATCCCTGGCCCTCATTTATTTTTTGAGGCAGAGTGTCATTACATTGTCTAGGCTGGGCTCAAACTTGTGATGCTCCTGACTCAGCCTCCTAGAGTGCTGGCATTACATGTGTACACCACTATGCCCAACCTTATTTTTCAGTTTTTAGGTGAACGAGCTAGGTTCCTTCACATCTTTCAAAAGTTGTGTTTGTAGCACTTTGCCCTTCCTGGCTCTTGCAGTCCTCCTGCTGGTCCGCTGGCCAGGGTCTGTCTCGCCACAGCCTGCTCCATGGGTCCAAGCTGCTCTGAGTTCATCCAATTCCTGCCCGCAGCCGGATGTTGGCTCCAGGATGGAGGCCATCTCAGGAACGCTGTGCAGCTTGGCTGCGGCAGCCCTGGCAGTATCCTGTGTGCTGGACAATTCAGGACGTCCCCGAAAGCATCGCTTCCCCAGGCTCCTCAGTCCTGGTGGGGGTCAGAGGTGCGGCACATGCACCAAGGACCCAGGGGCCTCCACTCCAGAAACCCACAACCCTCGCAGGACTCGGACACAGTGCATGGCACACGGCAGCACTCACCTCTTTGTTTTTGTTCTTTGGTTTTTGGAGACAGGGTCTCACTACATAGTGGAGACTGACCTGGAACTCATTATGTAGCCCAGGCTGGTCTCAAACTCACATCGATCCTCCTGCCTCAGCCTCCCGAGTGCTGGGATGACAGGCGTGCGCCACCACACCCAGCTTACTCACTTCATTTCTGACCACATTTCATAAAGACATGAAAGAGAATTTCCAGATGGCTTTATGTTTTTAATCTGCCATTTTTAAAATCAATCCACATTTGCAGTACATAATACCTACTTCCTTGTGCAGAGTTGGTTCCTAAGACCCCTTCATTCCTTTTTCATACCCTTTCTCCCTCCACTTGTAGCACCCCCTTCCCGTTTGAGGAAGATCTACCTCCCTACTTCCTACCACTGTCTTTTATGTTGCTCTATGCTTGGGATTTGGGCTTTTCATAAGAGAAACTAGGTGACATTGAAGTGTATTATGTGATTTATTTCACTTAACAGTATGGTCCCGAGGTGCATAAATGTCACTGAGGCTTTTGGGTAAGTTTCCAAACCCTTTGAGTCAGAGATTTAGGAGCCTTGGTCCCAGGTAGTCTGGTAACTTGTATTTGTCTCGTAAAATTTCATTCCAGGCTGGCTCCCAGTCCTGCCAGCAGTTCCTGCGAGCTCCCGGGGCTTCAGCTGTTTGCTAGCGATTGGAGCCAACAGGCTTTTGAAAATCTGTGGCAGAAGACACTTAATAAAACACCTGCTGTCTTTCACTATGTAGCCCAGCCTGGCCTCAAACTACAGCATCCTCCTGCCTCAGCCTCCTGAGTGCTGGGATCACAGGTGTGCGCCACCATGCCCGGCCATTTGCTGTCATCAGCCCTTCTAAGGGCATGGTTGTGCAATCATCTCCAGAGCTCTTTTGTCTTGCAAAACTGAAACGCTGTGCCCACTAGACAACCGGTCCCCATCTCCCCCTCCTCCTCTTTCCTGTTAGTCTCACCACTCTGTGTGTGTCTGTCTGTCTGTCTGTCTGTTGTCTATCTGTCTGTCGGTGTGATT